CCTCTGGTCTAGCCAGTCTTGCAAGATAGAATTCGAGTCATGGTAGTGGGAGCGGGGAGGAAACCTTTAGGAACTAGAAGAAGATTGTATTTCTCATCATTGTTACATCGCACCCTGACTGGCTCCTCTCCTCCCGGAGACCCCTCTGCACCCACCTGGTTTCTTATATAAATGGAACTCTACTTTGAAAATCAGAAATTCTAGAACTGAGAAACTTTAGAATGCTAAGGAGATTTTCACAACCACACCATTATTCACCAAATGTTACATGAGAAATAAGACAGAGCTAAGTCTCGCATTCAAACACTAACTGCTACTTAAAGGAGCCCTGGTGGTGTAGTGATTATGCACTGAAGTGTGAGCCTCATGGTTGGTAGTTCAAACCCAAACCCACAAGCAGCTCCTAGGGAGAAAGACGGGGCTTTCTAATCCTGTAAACAGTTAAGTCTCAGAAACCCACAGGATGTCTCTATGAGTCAGCATGGCAGTGAGTCTGTTTTGTTTTGCTTTATTTTACTGCTACTTAAGGAGCCCTAGAGGCAAATTGAGTTGGACTGCAAACACAAGAGTGCAGTTTGAATCTACCAGCTGCTCTGGGGACAAAGATGAGGCTTTCTGCTCCCATGTAGACTGACAGCCATGACAATCAGAAGGAGTAGTTCTACTCTTTCTATAGGCTTGCTACAGAAGCTACAGAACTTTTGGTTTGGGTTAACTGCTACTTGGGCGCCCCCTAGAGACCAAATTTTAAAATGTTTCAAACACTTTCAAAAAACTGTCTATAAAACACTCACACACCATAAACATTCATTCAACAAATACTTAATAAGCACACTGTGACATAAACACGGGGCTGCTAACCATAAGATGAGAGGTTTAAAAACCCACCAGCTGCTCCCTGGGAGAAAGATGAGGCCATCAGTCCCCCTACCTCAGAAACCCTACATGGGCTTGCTATGAGTCCAAATCAACTCAGTGGTGGGGGATGTGGTCTTCTTTTGTTCATAATGTGCTAGGCAAGCCCTGGTGGCTCAGTGGTTAAAGTGCTTGGTTGCGAATCTGTCTACAGTTTGAGGGTTCAAACCCACCAGCTGGTCTGTGGGGGAACGGCATGGCGATCTACTTCGGTAAAGACGTACAGCCTGGGAAACCTAGTAGAGAACCATATCGACTTGCTGTAGGTCAACATTGTCTCAATGGCACTGGGTTTGGGGTTTTTGTTGTTGTTCGGTATGTGCCAAGGACAATGCTCAGTGCTGGAGATATAATATATAAATGTGTAGCCAAGTTTCTGGTTTCTACATACTTAATGTCAGTATCTGTCTGTCCTGGAAGAAGTATAGTACTCCTCAGAGGCAAAGACAGTAAGACTTCATTTCACATACATTGGAGATATTGTCAGGAGAGTCCCTGGAGAAGGACCTCATGCTTCGGAAAGTGGAGAGGCAGCAAAAAGGAGGAAAACCCTCTGTGAGTTGAACTTCAATAATTGGATCAGGCATAGGAATACTTGTAAGGATGGGGCAGGGTTTTGCTCTGCAGTGCATAAGGTTGCTTGGAGTCAGAACCGTCTAATTGTGCCTAACGTCGGTATCACTCAAAACTTTTTCTAAGCACAACAGAATGGCGACACAAAGTATGTTGTGGTTGGATGACCTGGAGTCACTCCCAACTCACAGTGACCCACGTGACAGAGCAGAATTGCCCCATGGATTTACCTTGTTATAATCTTACAGAAACAGGTCCCCAGGCCTCACACAGAGCAGTCATTCACTTACCCCTTGCCCACCTGGGCTCCTTATATATGCATCCTGTGTAAAGTACCACATGGTTTCTGGAGGAAGTTATGATAAGAATACTTTCTGGGTGCTACAAAAAGCAAGAAGATTTAGAAGATGGCTAATCTTCAAAACAAAGTTTAGTATTAGAGGGTACACATTAGAACCAATCAGCTAGAAAGTAAAAGAAAGCATCTAATTGAAAAAACACAACACTAGTGAACAAAGTCAACTCTAAAACCTCTCAAATATTTGTTCCCAATTCACAATACTTCACTAGACACCAGTTTGGTCTTTGCCTCCCCAGGGCCTGGCAAAGCAACCAGCAGGAAAAGAATTTGCCTTCAGAGAGAAAACAAGTACCAGCTGCTCCTACTCACAGTCCGTTCCCAATACCAACCCCCCCCACCCCACCCCCACACACACCAACTGCCAAGCCTCAGGGCCTTTCATAGCCTAAGGCTGTACAGCCAGGGTCCCGAGATAAGGCTTCTGGTAACCCTGTGTCAGAAATTAAAGTAGCTTTGTGAAAGAAACTATTCTACCCTGTTTCCCCGAAAATACGACAGTGTCTTATATTAATTTTTGCTCCCAAAGATGCGCTAGGTCTTATTTTCAGGGGATATCTTATTTTTCCATGAAGAAGAATATGGTACACATTTATTATTTATTGTTTTATTAAAAGAGACCTTGCACTTCCTGTCTGCTCTGGCTATGCTGCGGCCCACAGCCCACCTCTAGGGTCCAGAGTCCAGAATTACAGTAGCTTCGGGGACCTTATTTTTGGGAGGTCTTATTTTCAGGGGATGTCTTACTTTCGGGGAAACACAGTATTTCAGCGAAACGTCAGGTACCAGTGGCAAAGGTACTCGGGGAATGTACCGTTGGTGTATATTTTTCCCTACAGAGGAAAAAATTTTGGTTCCAAAAGTCTTTGGTGATTCAGTTTAAGTGCCTGCATAATCAATTACTGAAAATACTAGAGACTCACACACACAAAAATCTCTGTGAACCAACCATACACATTCTAATGCTGTCTTATCAGCTAAACAATCAAACCTAGTACCATACAGTTGATTCTGACTGGTAGGGTTTCCAGCCTCATCTCCCTTAAAGCAGCTGGTGGGTGTAAACAACTCACCTAGCAGTTAGCAAGACAAATAATGTTTAACTGACAATGCCAGTCAGCTAGGGTTATCAACTGCTTGATTATTAGCGATTTGTAATTAGTTGATACCAGCTTAGTGACACAGCAATCAGAATCAAAAGAAAATGCAAAATTTTAAATTAAATAGCTCATATAATTGCTGAAATGCTAAATAATATGTTATCGAACATAGTACCCCATCACGGAAATCTTACTACTGACGATCAACAAGTTTAAAATAGCATCAGTCATCACTGAAGGAGGTAAGAATAAACACTAGTTACAAAATGTATACATAATTTTTAGACAAGTGGAATAATATATGATTATTAGTTTGGGTATAGACATCTAAAGCCACATTATGAGTCAGAAACAAAATATTAAAATGAGTTCAAATATAACAGTTATAAACCAATTTCAAAATAATAGTACTTCAAAGTAAAAATAATCTAAGATCAAGGAGTCTAAAGTGGAGGAAAAAATTATTTGCATCTTTCTGTACATGCTAGATATTTTACATAAACCTCATGTAAAATTCACAATTGCTATGCAAGATAGCTATTATTTCTCCCTTTTTACACAGGAAAAACTTAACTAAATTTAACTTCGCTGAATCTAGAGAAACAGGAAATCACAGTTAGGTTTTGAATCCATCTGCTGTTTGGCTCTAAAGGCTTTGGTCCTTACCCTCTCGTGCTGTCTCCAGGTAAAAGTCATTTCATATATAAAACAAAAATTGCAAACAATCTACATGCCATATATCTTTTAGAAAAATGAGAAGAATCGACAAAAATGAAAATACAGAGAGAAAAAAAACAAATGTATATGTGTACTTTTTAGGTAACACTTTTACATCTAAAATTGATTAATAATTATAAATACAGAAGCAGGGCAATGAATTAGATGCTACTGATCACCACTCTTTTTGGACACTCTAGGCAAAGGATTGGTTGTACAAACATAGATGGTGAAGGTAAAAGCCCTCACTAGCTCTATCCTAGAGGAGGGAAAGGCATGGGGATTATCCTCAGAAGTTCTGTTTTAAAAAAAAACACACAACTTTTGTTGGTCAAGGATTTTCACTGTCATTCATCTGTGTGTTTTGTACAACCATAGCTCCCTACTTCTGTTCTGTTGCCCGTCTCTCCCCCAACATGTCTCAGGTTCTCCAATAAGCCTTTTTTCTTCCAGTCTCTAGGTGGCTGAGCACCTATCTGCCACTCGGGTAGGAAATATAGTGCAAAAGGTAAGGAGCACCATTTCAGAATTGGGAGATACTTCTTCACAAAGGTGGGTAAATCTGGGTCCCTGACTTCTTCTTAATTTACAGAATGGGCAACTGAGACGAAGGAGAGGAGGAAGTGACTTGCCCAAGGACAAGAGTGAGTTGGCACCAGGGCCAGAGGTTGAAGCAGGATCTCCGCCCAGGACTGCACAGCTGGCTTTTGCAACCACGTAGATCCCGGCACTGCCCACGAGCCTCCTACCGACTGGGTCAGAAAGCGCTCTCGGGAGATTCCAGAATAGCTCAAATAATCCACTGCCCCCACGGGGCTCCCTCCGTTCTAGGGAGCAGACAGGTCTGTGGGGATTCGGAATTGAGAGGGCCTGCGACCCGGGGCGGAGAGGGAAAGACCAGTCTCTCCTTCAGGCAGTTGTGGCTATCAAACCGCCTCTACCCTAAATCCGGGAGCCTCACTGCACACACCTAGCGACACACTGGCCCGGGCGCTGGAGTTCCTGGTAGTCAGTCCTCGCGGGATGCCCTCTCCCAGCCCACCCTGGAGACCGATTCTGTCCCCAAATGTAATATGTGAGGGGCCGCAGGAACAAAGCGACCCCAAGCCCTCCCCCTCCACACAGAGCCCCCGGCGCAGGCGGACGCAGACTACGAGTTCCGGCAGGCTACGCGCCTGCACACCCTCGGTCACAGGCACGCTGACGGCGCGGAGGTTGCCGGGACTCGTAGTCTGCGGCCCGGGGGCTGCTGGGGGCGGCGACGGCAAACGCCGCGGGACCAGCAGGCCCCGCGTCCCGTCAAGCTTCAGGGAGCCCATCAGCTACCCGGGGCTGACCTCCACGATGCGGGTGCACTGGGTCCCCTTGCCGGCTCCCGGCCCTCCGAGGACGAACACGACCAGCGGCTTCATGAGGCGGTGCGGGCAGAAGAGAAGCGGGCGGCGCGTCGGCAGCGGGAAACGAAAGCTCAGGGCGTGCTGCAGCTGGCGGCAGTAGCGGCTCCGCATACAGCGTGGGCCCGAAGGAGCTGACA